GGCTTTTCTTAAATAAAGACAAGTCTAATAATACAGCAGGGAGGAAAGTAAAAGCAGAAATAACCACAGTGAGATGTTGATGAAGAGCTGCAGACAACAGGTTCTTACTGCATCTCTGCAAACAGCTCACCTCCAACAAGTAAATTTCTCTTGCCTGCCCCACTGTGGAAAAACACATGCAACGAAAACAAGAGGGGACTTAAGCCACTGATCAGCATGCATAATTAGCTATTTTGCTCTGTTGACTGTTGTCTTTTGTGTAATCACTTGCAAATTTTATTTATTCCCTTTTAATTGTATTTGTGCTTTGGCACACATGTTAAATGTAGACTATTGTATGCAGTTATTTATAACGTGGAACTTTGCTCTGTCAGTTTTTGATCTGCCTTTCTAAGCCTGTGATAATTACTTGTAAGCCTTCCCAAACTCAGACCTGCAGGTCTGTCAAGCATCATAGTTCCCGGCCTGGTGTTACAGCTGAATTTCTTTTATTCTCCGCAACCTATAGATCATAAATGAAGCTTAAAACTTGATTTTTGCTGTAGTCTCTCTGTTAATTTCCTTCATTTAGAAACCTAGTAGAAATATAAATTATTGCAAATGCAGTATAATTGGAACCGAAGGATATGTCTTTACTGTAAATAGTTTCTACAATGCAGAACAGACTCTTTGATATGGGGTGAGGTAGGGTTTCAGACAGTTAAGAAAACTTTGTTTAGTTAAAAATAAAACAAGACGGAGAGAGATGAACAGTACAGTTTGAGGATGTGGAAATATATTTCAGAATTAATTACATACCGATATTAAATAAATTTGATGCTAAATATTAGGTTAAAGAATACAACATTTCCCAATTTAACATGACTTAAAACCACGCCCACTATTGTTCTTCTATGCGAATACTGATATAGAGACAGATAACTTTGTTGGTTGAATGAATACAGATAGTGGCATCTTGATACACCCCTAGTGTGAGCAGGCACACAGATAAAGTTAGCAACTAGCTGGTGAGCATTTTGCAGCTAGAGAGACAGATATTTCACTCAGGCGTTGGTGGAGACAAAAAACAGAGCTAAAAGAGAGTGAATATTGGACTAAAGCCCAGTTCACATTACACGATTTTCACCGCGATTTTGATGTCGCAGAGGATCTTGAGAGCCGCCTTGGGTCGGAGTAGAATCGGCAGATAGTCTGCCACGACGAGTCCTCATGTGTGAACAAGCCTACGAGCAAGTCGCCCCCTCATCTGTGACTGGGACTGGATATCTGGCATGCTAGTAAACTTGAGAAGTCTGACACAACTGACAGCCAATGAGAGGCGGGATACATCCCACGTCAGCATGCAGGAGGACGGAAGAAATGTGAGGAGGACAAGCCGCAGGGTTGCCACTTGCCAAGTCCACTGATGAGCCGCGACTTAGGGCTTGTTTCTAAAGTGGAGTTGCTTATTTGGGCTTGCTCTCTAAACATCACCTTTCTCTATATATGTCCGTCTAATAAGTTATTTAAACGCATGATAGTTGCATCTTTTGGGCTTGTTTCCATAGCCCTGGTTGCTTGTTCCTCTCCTAGTATCTGGCAACACTGACAAGCCGGCAAGCAACAACAACAATGGCAGCGTCCACGGGATCACGGGGAGCGTGTTCTGTTTGGACCCAGGCCCTGGAGGCAGATCTGATTCAACACTGGAAAGAATATCCATGCCTTTAGGATGTGTCGTCTCCAAGTTTGGTGACGTCATCACATTATCTGGGGCTCTGTCGGCGAGGGCTCGGTGGAGTAATCTTTTTGTGTGCACACAGGTCGTAATGCAGTTGGCAAGACTCCTGATTGTGTAATGTGAATTAGGCTTTACATTCATCAGGCAGACACAAAGACCACTTAAGATATTGATGGATGATGTTTCTTAGTTCACTATATCAACTTTAAAGGTGATGATATGACAGTGTTGTCTTGTTTCCATTGCCCCCCACCACCAAAAAAAACACCAATGTTGCTTTTCTTGCTGCTGTTTGGTGATGCTAACTGCTTTTGCCGTGTTGCATTCAAAGACACTTCAACATCTGAAGTTTCAGATTTGGCAGCCGACAGCAACTGACTTATTGACTTTGATGGATTATCTCTCTACTGCAAGTTTGAGTTTCTTAGAAATGAACTGAAACTGATACTGATATATATATATATACATATATGTGTGTGTGCCCTGTTTTGTCCATTACATATTCAGAGAACATAAATAAATGCTTCATTTTAAAGAATGAGGATAAGAATAAGATCTCAGATCAGAGCTCCTGTAAACCACATAGACAGTTCCTGCAACTTGACAGAAGGGGGCACTGTGGGGACACACACCAATTGAACGTGAGTGTGTGGTGTTTGTGTGTGTGTCCAGTAGAAAACGGAGCAGAGAACAGCTGGCTGAAGCCATTACAGCAGAATCACTGGAATACATCACTACATCCTCTCCAGTCCTTCCGTATATTTTCTTCCCTCCATTTTTTTTATCACTCTTTCTCCCTTCATCCATCCTTCAGTTTTCTTCCCTCCCATGATTTCATCTCTCCATTCTTACCTTTTTCACTCCTTCCTTCCCATTCTTCAGTCCCTCCATCTTTTCATCTTTTCTTATCTCCTTATTTATTCTGTCCTTCCCTTTCCTTCCTATTTCCTTCTTTCCCACCATTCTCTCCCTTCCTTATTTTATTCCTTTATCATCCAGTCTTTTCCTTTCTTCCATGCTTTATCTTCTCTTCTCCATCTTCACTGTGTCCATCCCCTCTTCAGTCACTCCATTTCTCTTTACCTGGAGTTATTTCCTTTCCTACCTCCCTTTTTTTTCTTTCATTCACTCTTTACATTCCTTCTCTCTTTCCTTTAATATTCCATCCATCTTCTCATCCTCCTCATCTTCTTCCATCACTCTCTTATTGCTTCATCCTTCCAAGAATGCATTCGTCTCTCGTCCTCCTTCCTTTGTTTTTATCTTCATCTTTCTCTCTTTCCATTTCATCCCCCTCCTCCTCTTCCTCCATGTATCTCCTCTCCTATTATATATCCTCTCTCCCTCCAGCCTTCCTCCCTCCTCTCCTCCTCCTCCTTCTTTTCTTATCTCTCCCCTCCATTAATTTCCAATTCTCTCCCTCTTCCCTCCTCTCCCTCTCTTCAGCTGAATGTGCTTGTCATCCTAAATCGCTCTCATTCCTCTCCTCTCCCTCCTCCTCCTCTTCATCTCCTCCTCTACATCAAACTCACACACCTCTCCCTCTCTCTTTTATGCCCTCTCATCTCAGTTTATTGGCTTTTTTCTTTTTTAATTTTGTTTTTGTCAAGTATAGTTCTGTCTTTTAGCATTCCTACAGTTTTTTTTTCTAATTTAGCTTTTAATTATACTTTGAACTGTATTCATTTTTCATTATTGACCCCCCCCAATCCCCTTTATGTTATCTGTTTTTTTTTTTCTTTTACAGAAGCAGCCAAGTCTTGTTGTATCTCTGGCTGTTTATACACAAAAATTCAGTCTTTTCTCTGTGTTTCTTTACGTCTTTGTTGTTTTTGACAAAAGGCGGTGGGCATCCTCTCAATGTCTGCATGTGACAGCAAGGAGAAACAAACACACATCTTCTTTAAAGAGCTGATGTGATGTCTAAGTGGAGGAAGCTGTTTGAGATCACTGCAACCCGCAGATATTCTTAACAGCTCAACATGTATAAACCCTGTTTTTAATCACTAAGGTCAATTTACTTCTTTAGTTCCTTTTTCATGTTTTGTCAGTTAGAGGAGGAGCCTCAGGACGGTCACGTCAGTCTAACCAACAGCTTTAGTAAGAGAGAAATACTCCCAATGGCCATAAGAATGAAGACACTCAACCATTTTGGGCCAGTGTGATAGCTAAACATGCCAGTTCAAACGACAGACATTTAAGTCGGACTATGTAATTTTTAAAACAGAAATAGAAAAAACAGAAAGAAAATAGAAGAAAGCTGAATTCATATGCATTAACAAAACAGCTGCCAGGAAAAAAAATGTTGGCATTGTACATTTCTGCAAACCATGAATACATTACTTTTGCACATATGTAGCCAATACATTGACGTTTTACATGTCAACAAAGGTGTGGTTAATGTGTGGTTTGGTTTAGGCACAAAAACCACATCGTTATGGTTAGGGGAAAAAAAGAAACTTTTTTTTTTTGGCTCCAACTTTCTGAGCTTGGTGAAAAACAACAGCTTTTTGTGCCTCTATCCCCGCTGGGAAAAAGAGCCATGGGTCCCTAAAAAACGTCCATGTTTAAGGGGTTAAAGAGCTGCAAGAAAAACAGCAACGGTTCCCTAAAAAACACCCACATTTGGGAGCTGAAAAGCTCCAGGAAAAAAAACAACATGTCTCAAAAAACACCCACATTTGAGGACTAAAAAGCTGCAGGAGAATCAGCCACAGGTCCAAAAAGTCCGCCACTTTGGCGGGCTAAAAAGTTGCAGGAAAAACAAAAAAGGTTCCCTAAACAACATCCACATTTGGGGCTAAAAAGCTAAAGGACATTCAGAAACAGCTCCCAAAAACACCTACTTTAGAAGACTAAAAAGCAGCATAACATTTTCTTCAGGCAACTGGGCTGGAAATGGACTGATCCGATTCCTGCTCCCCAGCGGATGAACTTGTTTAGAAATTACACCTTGACCTTTCCCTTGGCACCACACTTAGAATTTACTTTAGATTTTACAGACTGACAGACTGATTTTTTTTTTTTTTTTTTTTTTTTTGAAGAACTAAATTCTAAGTAATTAGGATTACAAACGAAGGACTCCCTGTTGGAGTTTATGTTTGTTTCTTCTGGAGTTTAAGGGTTGTAATTCTACAGGCTGTTTGATGATATCCATGATATTTGTGTTGTTTATGTTTTCTGTTCAATGTCTTTACATCCGGGAAGATGTGATGTTTCAGGTGCACGAATAAGACCCATAATAAGGCATCAGCACTTACCTCTGGGTGTGTTTGTGCAGGGAGCAGGAGCTGAAAGTGTACCAGGCCAGGAGGAGTCTGGAGGAGGCGCTGATGGCTGATGGTTTGGCGCGGGCCGCCGAAAACACCCGAGAGCTGCTGGAGGGAAAGACGGCCTGAAGACAGACAGGTAAGACAGATGAACTGTTGTATTCATATGAATTGTCTATAATAATAAGAAAAACTCTTCTGTGATCTCATCATGTTTTTAGTTTTACAGTTCAAACAGAACCTCAGTAGTTTCTTTACCTTCTTTCTTTGGGTTTTACTGCACTTTATTCTTCTTAAATTGGCTGCTGTACAGGCAAGACGGGTTTGACAAAATTTCCTTGTTGAGCAACTTTATTAACATGTCATCACACCTAAAAAAAAAATCCCCTCAAACGTACTGTTTTATATAACAGTGTACAGTATGTCTAAGTGGAAGAAATAAGTATTGAACATTTTGAAGACGCCTTCTCAATTGTGCAGATGAGCTGCAAATAGGATCGGGGAGATGATAGTTAACATTAGCCAGTTGTCATGGTAACACAACCTGCTTTCAGGCAGATGAGATGAGGTGCACATTAGTCAGAAACAGAATATGAGAGAAAGATGAAATATCTGTCAGGGTTAAGAGGGAAAAGAAAATGTCAGCATGAAGTGAAGAGATGGTTTAAAACATCTGTGAACATCATCATATGATCGAAAAATGTAACTAACACAAGTATACTTTTTTTTTTTTAACATCAGTATCACAGTACCTAACAACATAACTGATAACACACCACACGCATTCCCTCAACCTCCGTACACAGCAGCTTCCTGCTCAGACAGATTGAGACTCTGGAGATTTGGAGCAGAGGAAAATTTGTTTATTTTTTTTTATTTATTACAAAAATTACAAATATATATACATATAAACAAATATAAAGATGACAAGCAGTGGAATTGCTTGCAACAAGCAGTGGAATTGCTTGCAACAAGCAGTGATTAATAAAACAGGCAGATGTAAACAAAACAAATTCAAACAACAACAACAATAGCGACAGTGGTAGCAACACCAAAGAAAAAGAAAGAGACAACACTAAAAAAAAAAAAGAAACAACAAGAACAAACAAGACAAAATTGAGATAAACAAAACAAAACAAAATGATATGTTCCCATATACACGTTTTATTTTATGCACCCCCCCCCCCCAGCTACATGCCTATGTTTGCTTATATTAATGTTGTGGCATCAGCTCACCGGCAAAGGAATTGCGCTGAGAATTGTTGCGTATATATTACTGAATTGTTCCAATTGGTTTGTCTGTAAAGCTGGGGCCTGTATCACAAAGCGAGATCAACCTTTCCTGGGTTACCCAGACCTATCCTGGGTTGACTAACCCTAACAATGGCAATCAGGATAATCGGTATCACGACACTGGATATCAACTCGGTAACTCAACCCAGTGTTGCTTTATCAAGAGCTGTGAACGCGCACGCAGCGGACCAATCACAATCATGAGAGCAGCACAGCGTCACTGAGCGTCACTGAGCGTCCTCACAGAGCGCCATATGTGAGGGAAAAAAAGTATTTCTCATGAGGATCAGAGATTAATTCTACTAAAATATGAGGAGGAGAAAAGCAACATTACAGAAAAGGCCAACACCGTGGCAGCTGCAGGAGGAGGAAACATGCGTGGCAACGCATAACGGGATGAATAATGTTTTTTTTAGTTTAGATTAGTTTATTTGCACATAATGTTAAAAACAGACAGTATAAAATTTACAAGATTAAAAAAGAAAAGTACCGGAGAGGTTAGAAGCCACTAAAAGCTTATCAAAGAAATTCCCCTGTCAAAACATCAATAAAATCACATGATAGAGAAGAAAAAAAAAAACAGTCAGGAAAGAAGAAATAGAGGAGGAGAGAGGGAAAAATCAAGACAAAACAAGGTAGCAAATAAAATTATGTGTAGGTTAAATTACTCATCACTGGTTCAAGTAGCTACAGTACCTGTACCTGTACATCTGACACTGATCACACCTTTGAATCCCATGAAATCAATGCTGCGCAGATGAATTGCGTGTATTGCAATTATTGTCTAACATCATTGCGTCTGATAAATTGGTCTTCTTTGTCATAACGTTATATATGCTACAATAAAGCTTAAAGCTGACGCCACAATTAAATCATAACACCAAATTGATAGTCTGAATAAAACCATCCTGATATTGAGCTGTGTTAGAAATTAACAGCTGTGCAAAAATATACCTAGTCTCCCTCTTTAAAAAACAAAAAGGAAAATCCCTCAAACACCATGAAGTGTAGACATGATAGGCTACTTTCCACATTTCCAGCAGCAAAGCTGTCAATTAGGCCCATTATCTTTAACAGGGATCATTTCCTCCAACAAAACAAAATGTTGGCACTAATATATTAAGTGTCTGCAAATGATCAGTTTCTTTCTTATGAAGGGGTGGGATGAAATTTTGACTTCTTTCCACTCCTTTTTGAACAATCTTTTCATTGTCTGTTGGTGTTGCTTTCTTTTCTTTTTTAATGTTCAAAATAAACTTTCAAAACAAAATCAATCAAATGAATTAAACTTCCCATCATGACTGGGCTGCATTTCTGTCAGCGGAGTCATTTTTTTCCAAACAGCTGATTGGCCAGTGGGTGGTGCTTTTTATAGAATCAGATTCAACCCTGAACTTACCCTGCTCCGGAGCAGGATAGCCGTTCAGAGTAAGTTACCATGGTGATCTACCCCGATAAGAACTGAACCGGCTTCGTGAGACCGAAAACCCAGGGTTAACCCTGAAGTTACCTCGCTAAGACATTAATCCTGCTTCGTGATACAGGCCCCTGATTGTTTTTCCATTGATATCTGTTGTGTTAATAGATCCAGCCATTGTGTGATGTTGACCTTTTTCCTATTTTTCCAGTTTAATAATATTGTTTTCTTGGTGATAGTTAGGGCTACAAGTAGGGGTGTTATGATTTGTTTTGAATTTGTATTAAATGTATCCATATTGCCAAGTAAGCAAATGGACGGAGATAGTGGGATGAAAATTTGTTTATGTGTGTGTGCAACGAGTCAGTGCAGAAGTATATGGACATTGTTACTTTACAGCTGACCAACTACAATAAGACAAACTACTAAACCATTTGAAGAACTACTGAATTAACTTCAGAATCATCTAACGACTAAAGTATTTAACTACTAAATAACTAAACTAAAACACGTAACAAGTATATTACCAAAAGAATAAACTACTGAAGTACTTAAAGGTATACTTTGCAGAATTTCAAAAACCAAAAAAAAAAAAAAAACAGAACAATGTATAGACTCATGCAGAAGAAATCCCTCTCAGTCATCACTTATGACGCACTCTCAGTGTGTGGCAGTGTATTTTTCTGCAGAGACTGCCTGGATTTTCTTATGTTCATATTTTGCTGTGTTCTGGAAGTTCCTGGACACAGTGCTCAGGTGAGGTCGGGACTTTATTAAAAGGTAGCGACCAGGTGCCAGACCATAATTGCTGACACGCACCAGTCTCTCCCGCTTCCCACAAATATAGCAAGGCAAAACACAGACTGGACAAAGCTTGTTCCAAAATGAGAATGAATCTGGGGTTGTCTTTCAATTTTATACTGTTTGGTTACTGTTTACAAACAGTAACAGACAATTGCTGCATAGTATACCTTTTACTAATCAACTAGTGAACTAGTGAACTACTAAGCAGCTAAACCATTAAAGTACAAAACAGCCAAACTAGTAAATTGCTGAACTATTGAACAACCAAACTTATAAAATACCTAACTAATCAACTAGTAATCTACAAAACTACTAAACTACAGATTTATTAAACAGCTAAACCACAAAACTACTCAACTGCAGAACTGACAACAAGTAACAAATGAACTGCTAAACTACTGAACTAGTGAACAACTAAACTACTAAAGCATATAACTACTACTGAGCAAGTGAGCTAGTGAACAACTAAACTACTAAAATACCTAACTAGTCAACCAGTAATCTACTGAACTACTAAGCTACAGAATTGCTTAACAACTAAACTACTTAAGTACTTAACTGCTGAATTAGTAAACTACTGAACTATTAAACACTGAACTATTTAAAGTATGTAAATATTGAAGTGCTAAAGTACTGAACTAATGAACACTTTGTTTAGGTACCAATACTAATACCAATCAACTAGTAATGTATTGAACTACCAAACTACATAATTATTAAGCAGCTAAACCACTAAACTACTAAACTGCAGAACTACTTAACAACTGAACTACTAAAGTACATAATTACTGAACTAATGAAGTAGTTAGCTACTAAGTTAGTAAAGTACCTAACTAATGACCTGCAGAACTACTGAACCAAACTACTGGCTGTGAAACCACAGAATGACTGAACTAGTAAATTGCTCAACTATTAACTGCTAAAATAGTCAGCAGCCGTGACAATGGCTGGTATTCTTTTCCCTCATGAGTCTGTGCATGTGTCATCATGGTGAAATGTGGTCCTGGTAATACCAGTTGCAGCAGGAACTACAACAGAAGCCGTTTTGAGTATTTTGCCAGGTGTTTATACTGTCTGTCTGTCTGTCTGTCTGTCTGTGGACAGATTTGGCGTGCAAGACGCAGCCATGAAACATTACAGGTGTGTGGTTGAGATCAAAATGAAGGTCAAGTTCGAAGATGGGTGTGGTCCGAGCAAGGGGATTGGTAGTAGGGAAAGGGCCACTGCCCCCACACTGTTCCCCCCTGGCCCACAGTCATTTTAAGTTGTGGATCAATTTATCGCTACTGGAACGATTACAGCTAATTACTGAAATTAGTTTAGTACTGAACTAGTAAATGACCGAACAACTGAATTGTTCCACAATGAAACAGCTTAACTACTTGCGTATAAATCTAACAAACCGCTAAAGTACTTAACTACTAAATTAGTATCTTACTAATACCTAGTAACACTTGAGTATTACCACTTACTACTAAAGTATGACTGACATGCTATGAATGAGTCTGTGCTGCAGTTTAAACATGAGGAAAGTTACAGATCACAGCTTTAAATGTTGTGAACCATGCAGAAGCAGAACCAATCTGCTCTGTCAGAAACCCTGTCTGGCTGTGTGTGTGTTTGTG